AAGTGTCATTAGAGGTATCAAAAAAAAAATTAACATTAAAATTCGTTGATGTAATTAGGGATGCAACGGTGACGATTAGTCACCGCTTGATCGTAGCAATCGGTAACCGCTTCAGCGGAAACCGCTCCACCAGTAACCGGTGTGAACCGGTAACCGGCTCAGATCGGTTATCGTTCCACTCACATATTGTTTTACGTTTGGAGCTATATCTTGAATAAAATTTTTGTGGAACACCCAAAATTTTTATGAAAAAAAATTTTTCTTTTCAAAAATTTATTTTTTCGCAGTCTTTTTCTGCATAAAAAAAAAACAATTTTTGAAAAAAAAAATTTTTTTTCATAAAAATTTTATTCAAGATATAGCTCCAAACGTAAAACAATATGTGAGTGGAACGATAACCGATCTGAGCCGATTACCGGTTGAACGGTTACCGGTTCACACCGGTTATCGGTTGAACGGTTACCGGTTCACACCGGTTATCGGTCGAACGGTTACCGGTTCACACCGGTTATCGGTCGAACGGTTACCGTTAGACCGGTTACCGATTAGACCGGTTATCGTCACCGTTGCATCCCTAGATGTAATCGTCTTCATTGATAATTCCAAACTAATTTTATCTGTTGTAAATTCACGAAATGATCTCTAATAAGAATTTATCGGATCTGGCTGAATCAATCTTTTAAATGCTTTACTTTCGGATTCAATAATACAGGTGACAGAGTGTGCGCCAATATATTTTGTTTCTAATATGAGAAAGTTTGAAAAATTGGAATTATTACTTAAATCAACTTTCGCAAAATCATTTGATAAAATGCAGATACTCTGCAGGTTGCGAAATCTCTCCTGTAATACAATGACATAGTTCTTAACGTCTTGATTTTGCTCTGAGGATTCTTGAATATAATTCACTGCTATCAGATCAACAAATCATTTTTTTTTGAATATTTCAAAAATGATCTTCATTTTATTTCTTCACTCATCCAAAATTAAGAACATTTTTTTCATTTTATCGATTTCTTCTCTGTTTTCAACTTTTAACAACAACTAATTCAGTAACAAATTTAATATTTCTTTTTCAACAAGAGGTTTCAATACGTTGTCCGTTTTGAAGAATTCCAAACAAATCGGTAGCGCCTAAAAGAAAGCAAAACATTCTCAATATTAATGTAATTTACGATCTCCTTTTAAAGTTCTTACTTGATCAAAGGAACTTCTCGAGAAACAACATTTCTTTTATCTTACTGCGATATTGAAGAAATTTATCACAAATGTTGACCACTTAAAAGTGTGATGATTAAATCTTTTTTTTAGCTCTATCTATCTCTTATCGTTAAGAAGGTTTCTAGAGTCTGTTGTCAAAGACTTCTCTTCAATATGCGGTACTCTTATATCCATAAAATTCAAGCTAGAAACCTTGAATTGGTATTATTTCGAACTTTTATCCGTTTCAAAATACATATAATGTACTGCACTATTCTCTGAATATTCTCAGCCATTCAGATTGGATTTTTGTCATTTGATAGAGCAAATCGGGGGACGTTTATCTATGTTAAAAGCCATTATGGTCGAAGAAGCTTTTGTGGTAGTTTTCAAACCGATACCTTACTTTTTGTTAAAAAAAATAATGCCAAAATCCTCAAATTTTAAGGCAAATATAGAATTTCTCAGGCTACTCTTTGGAAATAAATTCCTTGGTCTTAACGAATTTTACATAGGCAGATGCTCGAAATTTATTTAAAAAAGGCTGAAGTATATAATATTTTGGAACAGACAATAGATACCTTATTGCTGGGCTTGTCAAGATTAGATCTATTAATTAGGTCTTTGTTCGTTTTCTAGAGATTCAACAACTCCGTCTATTCTTCTTTTGAGATTTTCAGAGTACCTCTTACATTGGAGGCTTGTCGTTCGTGACAGTTTCGTTATGAGGACCAGTCTACTATTTCTCTCTGGTGTCAGATTTTCTTCTAAAACTCGGGAATAAAAATGATCGTCTTTCATGAAAGCTGTTCTGCATGTTTCAGCTCGATTCAATCAACTATTGCTGATTTACGAGTCTTCTGGTGGTAATAGATAGTTTTTCTATATGCCGATATTTTAAGTAAAATGAGGGTGTGACTGTAAGCTTTATCCTTTACTCACGCTCATCCCACTCCACACCCTGGATAGAGAATAAAAGGGTGTAGGTGTAGGCCAAAGAAAAGGCCACACCCACACACTCAATTCATCCAAATCAAGTAATCAAAAACACCTATATCGTGTAAATTTCAGTCATGCCATCTTCCAACTTCGTCAAGTGTTGTGTATGTGAGACTGCTCTCTTGTTACTCGAATGATTCGTTTTTTATTTATGCATCATGAAAACATTCTACATTTCGTCTGTATCTGTTTTAACGGCATGTTTTTTTTTCGTTTTTCTCTGTGAATCCTTTTCAACTATGCACTCTATTAGGAAAGACTGCACATAGCAACAGTAATGCATTCAAGATGAAGAGCACAAGAAGGTCTGGATGGAGTGATTGTCGGTCTGGATCGTTGTGGGGAAAATCTCAGTAGTCATAGACACACCCACACCCTAATTTTTGTTGTTTCATATAAAACCATGATATATATCATTCTCCCTATGTATGTAGTTATTCATGAAATTTAAGAAACTAATCTTATAGAGAAGTTAAGATTTATAAGGTTTACAAACTCTGAAAATTTCATACGATTTGAAAACACTTGTGGAAGAGACTTCATGAGATATCCCAACTGAAGCTAGAAAAACATTTTTCATTGCTTAATAAAATTACGAATGACAGTCTCGTTTTTAGAAGGCAAATAAAAATAACTTCTATTAGTAATGTTACTCTTTATACTTCTCTGTCAACACACGTGCTACAAAACGAATCCTTATCAATATAAAACATACTTATGAAGGTTAAAGTAACAGCAACAAATGGATCTTAATTTTTTCTACGAAAAAAACAAAACTATAACGATTACTTAATTTGTTCAATTACTTTTTTTTTGCATTATTTTAGCAAATACGTATATGAACTTTAATGCTATTAAATGTAATGGTGTAAACGTTTTAACACGAAAACCCACAATGATTGCATCAATCCATAGAAATTTTATTTTATGACATTTAGTTGCAAAAATTATCCAAGAAGTTTATCAAAATTTAAATTAAATGTTGATATGAAACTGATCTCAAAGATCATTTTGTTTTTCAAACAACGGGTAATCCTGCCAAATGGATAGGTAAACCGAATGGACTGTCTATTATATTAATTAACTTAGATGCTGTTCGTACAATAAAAGACATATATCCTTTTCTGAACATTTAAAAAAACATACAATTATTTTTTATGCTTATGCATCAGTTGATTATAAACAACAATAATCAGTTAGTGGCGACAGGTTACCGAGACTTATATTTTCAGGATTTATTGAAATCATCGGATTTATCTTAAATAATCTATTGGTAGCATGTAATGTATTTAAATAGTACCCAAAAAACGATATAATTCTGATGTATGATTTTGCACCTCATTTGAGTGTCTACTAATTCAACAGTCAGAATAGTCATGAATCTGATGGATTCAATCTAACTGTGTTAATTTAGCTCAGTGATGGAGGAGATTTTCGAGTAATTTCTTGAAAACTATGGCGACAGATTTTCAGTCGCAATAAACATCTCTGGTGTCTGCTGTTACCATGATTTTCTTCATTTCATGATAAAGCATAGAGTAAGATTGTCTATCAAAGACAGAATTAATCCATTTCATCTGTCATATCGAGTTAATTATAAAATAATTCTAAAGTGATTTCGCAATGTGAATTCATTAGTTTAGGTACATTGAGTTAATGATTTCATTTTTTTTTTTAGAGAATAAGTCAAATTTATAGTCGTTTTGAAGAACATATTTTACTCTACGCCTTCTGTAGAAAGAGAATTTGACAAGAATATTTATTATACAAAACGAATCAAGACGTCTGCGCCATCCTTTATATGCAACGAGTGTATTTTTGTTCTGACACACAGAATTAATATGGCAAAAAAGAGCAAAAGATTGGCTAATATTTATTGCACTGAGAAGGATTTTTTTTGTAAATTCAAGAAGTTATTTAATTTATATTATTCTAAATGATTAAACATATATTTGAATAACAAAAATGAACATTAACTAAAGTAAAGTAACATATAAAAAATATCATTAGTGTGAAAAATTGAAAGACTATCTACTATATACTCTAGAAAAGTTTACTAAGAAATTTAAAAATTAATTTTTATTTTAAAATATATATAATTATTTTCACAGCTAATCAATTTACCATAATTATCTATCGAAAATATTGTTGTACGAAAGTAGAGTTAAAAACTATTTGTTTATTCGAATTGAATATTTTTCTTCCT